GATCTTTCTGTTATCTTTTGTTCTTCTATTGTCTCGAAAACAATAACGATGTTTCACCAATTTCTACCTACAAATAATAGGAGCGACATTTGATTGACAAAAATTTGCATTTACGCGTTTCTACAGGCGTAATTCCGTAATAAACGAATTAGAATAGTACAAGAATCTTGTCCATTCCACATTGACGAGACTAGAAGAAACCTCAGGAGTCGTTTCAGCGAACAAAAAAACAATAATATTAAAGGTATTGCTGTCAACGAATATATAAGCCTTTGAGGATCAAGATTCTATAAGTAAACACCTAACAGGTTAGCAGTGGTAACCAAGATATGTCTGAGAGATTTCATGAAATATGTAGAGATGTAAGTATAAATTAATAAAAAGAAAAAGCTTGTCCTGTAACTTAGCAGTTGTTTTGTAGGAAATTCCTCACAATAGTTGTTAAGCTAAAAAGCCGCGTCTTTTAGTTTTCAATAGACAACTACTTTGCAATAGCCATTACAACCTGTGAAACCCACAGCAATGTGTTCCTTCATGGTCACCGTAATTCCTTTAAATTGAAGTTTAGGTTCATCACGCAGCAGAATTCTTCGCACAAAATTTCCATCCAGGGTGTATATCTCTACTACTATGATCCCATATTCACCATCATAACCAGCGATGACAACATGTTCGCCTGCAGAGCGAGGTGAAAAGTGCATGAAGTCTAAACCAAATCCAACACCAGATTTGAATCATGAGGGGAGCGCACATCGGTGGATTTTACTTCATGCGGCTTGCTACTTCTGAAAGAAGAGTGCCGGATTTCATCGTTTTGTTCATGTTTATTAGTGTTGGCAAATGTAAGGTAAATGAACCGACCACTGTAAGGTAAGAATTGAAGTTTTTAATTTGTTACTCGGCGAAAAATCATGGAATTGGAATTCGTGAAACTCGTGAGTATTACCTCTGTTACCTAATGTCATGCGATGACTCTTCGCTTTTTCGATGCGTAACACGGATACAAACGATAAATTTCTGCCGCAAAGTGAAGTATAATTTACTTAACGAGACCATTTGACGAATATTTCTCGTTATATGCTTTATTCATATTTGCTTGGCTTATTCAGGCTACATGCCAAGAGTTTGATGACAATGTTTGTGTGCTATAATTATGCTGATAAGTTTTTGCACCTTTATATTGAAACTCATGTAAGCCAAACGTTTATTAACTCTAACAAAACACTCTTCTATTATGGAGGAACTTTTAACGTCTTTCGGGGCCCTAATATGGTGTCCAATTTTTGGGGGAAACAAAGCTTGATTTTTGACCAAACAGACTATAGCTTTTTTGTCTTTGAAGAGAGCGAGAGGCAAACGTCCGTGAGTACAGTGTAAGCCAGTGATTCTTTAAGTAGAGGTAACAAACATAGGTTGCACTTTAGGTGGCACACCCATGGGTGCAGTGTAACCCAGTGATTCTTTAGGTAGAGCCATCAAACATAGGCTGCACTTTAGGTGGCACATCCAAGGGTGCAGTGTAACCCAGTGATTCTTTAGGTAGAGCTAACAAACATAGGCTGCACTTTAGGTGGCACACCCGTGGGTGCAGTGTAACCCAGTGATTCTTTAGGTAGAGCTAACAAACATAGGCTGCACTTTAGGTGGCACACCCATGGGTGCAGTGTAACCCAGTGATTCTTTAGGTAGAGCTAACAAACATAGGCTGAACTTTAGGTGGCACACCCATGGGTGCAGTGTAACCCAGTGATTCTTTAGGTAGAGCCAACAAACATAGGCTGCACTTTAGGTGGCACACCCATGGGTGCAGTGTAACCCAGTGATTCTTTAGGTAGAGCTAACAAACATAGGCTGCACTTTAGGTGGCACACCCATGGGTGCAGTGTAACCCAGTGATTCTTTTAGGTAGAGCTAACAAACATAGGCTGCACTTTAGGTGGCACACCCATGGGTGCAGTGTAACCCAGTGATTCTTTTAGGTAGAGCTAACAAACATAGGCTGCACTTTAGGTGGCACACCCATGGGTGCAGTGTAACCCAGTGATTCTTTTAGGTAGAGCTAACAAACATAGACTATACAGGTGTACATCAGATGGTAACAAGTTTTCCAGTTAAAACTTTGTCATAAAGTGCTATACCATGGCACTTCGACTATTTCATTATCGCGCTTGTTTTGACGCACAATTGATAGTCAGGAGAAGTCGTATTGTCTAAAACCATAGCAAAAGACAAATTTACACACATCATTAATTAAGGTAAGGTAATACACGGTATTTCCTTCAGGTACATTTACATTTTCTGTTAGGTTATAAGCGATTAAATCGCATGCAGCGACGAACAAAACGCGAAGCCGTCAGATATTCTAGAACCGTGTTATTTACAGTGCTGTGCATTATTATTGCTTAACTGACTAACTACGCGCTGATGGAAATAAGTTTCGGCCGCTTTAAATTTTGAAACATTTCACTGGTACCGTATAGTCATAATTGGAGCGGAAAGTTAGCACGCGAGCAGGGCGATTCTGCTTTGGTTTCTGTAGTGTGGAAGATATTACGGCAATGAGGCTCCCGAGGTCCGTTCTGGAAATCACAACTACATGTAGGATGAAATGTATTCTACGTGCAGACGTCTCCTTTTCCAGGTTAGTTTAAATAAACCGTACCAACGATTTGTTTAACAAAGCTAGCGCGAGACGGTTTCTTGGTGATTTTATTAATTTTTCCGATCTATTTTTTTTTCATCTCTATTTTCGCAGCTTTTGCGATACAAACTAAATTCATTTTTAGTTGTGATGGCATTACACTGCTTAATCATGACGGCTTTGGAAGAAACTGAATATATTGCGCTTCGCGATTTCGCAAAATCGCTGCGGGAATTAAAAAATATTTTCTTCCAAAAATGCGTTTTCACGCTTCTTTCTTTTTATCTCGTTTTCTAAAGGTTCCTGAGAACAGAATTATTTTATTACCTAAACCTAAAAACCTGATTTTGACCAGATCGAAACAAAACTGACCTTGGAAGAAGAAAAGCCTTTATTTTTGCCGGCTTCGGCCTGCCGACGCGATCGTGTCTGTTTTGCTTTCATAATTATGATGACATTTTCCTGACAGAAGGGTGTCGGGAAAACACCTTGATCATACGTGACAAAATCCGCCGCGCCTAAGAATTTTCCTCAAGCTTTGGAATTGTATGGAGCAATCTTTGTGTCCTGTCCTTCCGCTGTGAATACGTAAACAGAGAAGAAGTCGCTGTAGCCTCCTTTATCGTGCATTATCAAGATGTGACCATCGTGAGTAGCAGTGCAATTTGTCAAGGCTCTGTCACCTCCACTCTTGAAAAACTCAAAACTACGAACAAAATCACCATTCTGATTGTACACATCAGCCTCCCATGATGATAATATTAGTAATTTGCTGCCACTTACTAGCAGTCTGTTCATGAGTGCGTATCTCACAGGAAACTTATACTCCAGGTTAGCGTTCTTGTTAAAAACCTGCACTTCTTCATCCCATCCGTTAGGCCATGGCCTCCTCAGTCTGACCAGTAGATAGATGTTCTCGCTTACGTCTTCAGTGACGAGATCATAAATTTTTTGAATCTCTGTTTTAGCATCGTCAGTTTGGGGATTAAAACTAAACTGAAACATACCATTGTTATCATAAACATGCACGGTTCTCCAACTATCTGCAATCAGAAACTGTCCCAGGGTGTTCGTAGCCATTCTCCAGAATAAAGGCCTAAGTCCCAAATCAAACGACCCCACTGTAATGCA